GATAACTCCCCTCCATTCTCGAGCAATATATTTATATCCCTCCCTAGTTGTCAGTCCAAATTTCCACTTCTTGTAAGCTTTTTGTGTTTAAGCTCACGAAGGATGTCCCCGGTAAGCCAATCTGGTTGCCTACCATACTTGCTTTTCTTGCTGCTCATCGGGATGGTTTCTTCCTGTGCCTTATTAAAGGCTTCTTTAAAATACTGCCACTTCTCCTGGACTCCTTTCCCCTTCATGTAAGCATCCCAGAGTATCCTGCCCATCAGTTCCCTGAGGGAATCAGTCTGCTTTTCTGAAGTCCAGGGTGTGTATTTTGCTGCTCTCCTTTCTTCCTTTGGTCAGGATCCTGAACTCAACCATCTCATGATCACTACTGCCCAGGTTGCCACCCACAACTACTTCCCCTACTAATTCCTACCTGTTTGTGAGCAGCAGGTCAAGCTGTGGCCCCTGGTTGATTCCTTCAGCACTTGTACCAGGAAGTTATCCCCAACATTCTCCAAAAGTCTTCCTGGATTGTCTGTGTACTGCTGTATTGGTCTCCCAACAGATGTCAGGGTGATTCAAGTCCCCTATGAGAACCAGGGTCTGTAATCTGGAAACTTCTTAGTTGTCTTAAGAAAGTCTTGTCTACTTCATCCACCTGATCTGGTGGTCTATAACAGACACCAACCATAACATCACCTCTGTTGCTCCCGTCTTTAAGCTTAACCCAATAACTCTCAACAACAGGCTTTTCTCCCTCATATACTAGAGCTCTAAGCAAACATACTGTCATATTTTAAATACTTGCCTTCACTGCATTGTCAGCCCAAGCTAGAACTTGAGTTTTGCTATTAATCCAGCTCTTTTTCACATACTTTGGGTATGTCTACATAGCAGCTACAGGTGCGATTTCTCAGCTGTTAGACATACATGTTCTAACTATGCGGAAACCTGTATGCTATATATGGGTATGAGCTCAGGTGGCTAGCCTTAGCCACCACTGGTGCTGGTGTGGCCATACTGCTTTTTCATTATGTTTTTACTCACTTGGCCTTGGGTAGCTCAGGTGGAGTAACCAGAATTTACTACTCTGTTGCAGTGAAGATGAGTATTTATAATGGGCTCGTTACAATTTTTTTTGTTGTAAATGTGTAATCTACCTGCATGTTGTGCAGCTGTTAAGAGCACCTGGAACCTCCTTCCTCTTTTCCTCAGTGTGCAGCTGACAGCATGATGCTGAGGGAAGGATACAGTGAAAGCTTTGTGCAGTGATTTCAACCTGCCTTTCCTTGTTTTGCACTGAATTATATTAATTACATTTCTTAATTTGTTGTTTCATAACAGTAACTGGAGAAATCATTCCAAGAGGCACTTTCTGTATTTTGTCAACATGCACTTGTGTATCAATGTGAACATACAGAGAATTCTATTGGCGAGTGCCCAGGAGTGTTGTCACAAGCAGCAGGCCTTCCCCAAAGTACACACTGAAAATCAATTCCGCTTCACATTAAAACTGGGGCAAATTAAAAAGCTCAGTAAATGTTTACATTACTCTCTCACTTATTAGACATTAAAGTTCTTAACACTAAAATTTCCACCTCTTGTGTTCCAAAATAAAAATATATTTGTACGTAATCAAACCTTAATTAAGAGCTCCTCTGTATATATGAAACCATAAACATCTCCAGCAGAGTCAACAACGTGAACAGTCTAAATCTGTGATGTCCAACTGGTTCTGAAGAAGTAGCTGCTGTAATGGCTATTGCTATAGTGAACTAGCCACACTCAACTGGCCAAATAACCACATGTGGCTAGTGTGTTGGATACCACGGGTAATTTTAGATATTCATCAGGAGCTGCCTATTACACTGAGGCAATATCAATCATTTCTGTTATGCTACGAATCTTTCTCCAATTTGAAAAGAAATGTCTGTTAATTATCTTTTGGATCTAACCTTTGCACTTTTTGGCACTGCAGTTATAGGGGAAAACAACATTTCGTAAGAGGAAGAAGGTATATTGTTCATTGTCTGAACTCCAAATTTTCCTGTCTCCTATCACCTCTTGATCACAGCCCAAAGTTGATTAAATCTTCCTTCATGTTGCCCCTCTCAGCCAACAAGCCTCTTGAAACTTACTGAAGAATTGTCATCACATTTAATTTCCCCTCCCCCCACAAGGGCAAGTGAAAAGTAGAATCATCTCTCATAGGTGGAAATAAATTGTTTAGTGAACTACAAGAGCCAGGGTTCCTGGAAGTACCTTATGAATTGAAAATAGATTTATTTACTTTGGAGACATAGCCTCACTTCCTAAGTAGAAACACACAGAAGGGGAGCATTTGCATGAAGAGAGCTGCATCCATGAATATGCAACTTATATTTATATATACACACACACACACACACACCCCCCCACCTTACCTACATGGTATCTGTACAAAGAGCAGGAATATAGGCTATCAAATATGGAGAGGTCAGCGATCGATAGACTAGGGCCTGACCCTTCAGACTTTGGCTATGCATCCTCTTCCACATCTCGATAGGTAGCAGCAGTTTGGCTTCTCTGTAGCTGCACTTCTGACTCCCTGAAAGGGGTCACAGAACATGTGGGAGGAGGTAATGTTAGTCTTGGCATCAATTAAGATACTGTTCATGTCCACGTGTTTGTATGGGGAAAATGCTGAATTGAACAACTTTTCCTCATCCCTCCCTTCTTCCTGGTCACATTATCTGACAACAGTGCCAAAAAGTCATTGTCTTTATTTGGACTGGAATTGTGAATGTTCTCTAAAGTTTGGAGGTGTTCACATGATTTTTGTGTTTCAGGTCCATCTCTGAATACAATACTTTCAGACCAGAGATGCTTATCTTTGGCCTTCATCTTTCAGAAGAGGGGGAATCCAACTGCATGATATTAATAAAAAAAAGTTAAAAATAGTGACAGCTCAGTCCACTTAGGATCTAACTCATTTTAAAGTGGATGCCTGTTTATCAGAGAGAAACTAATAATTCAAGTTTCCTAACGCTTTTCTGGCAAATCCTGTTAAAAACCACTATGGGCAGGAAGCTCATTTACGGCCAAATTTTCAGGGAGGTCAGTACCCACAATCAGCTGGATTTTCAGAAGAGTTGCACTCATTTCTCCAACTAAAAGAGCAGGGGTGGGCAATAATTTTAAGTGGGAGGGGCACTCCAAGAATTTGGTAAGTGGTCAATGGCCACACTCTTCCGTAATATTAACAGAGGAGGTGCAGGGTCTGAGATAGAGGTTGAGTGCAGAAAGGAGCTTGTGATAGGGGATTGAGGTGCAGGAGAGGTGTGGGGTCTGAGATGGAATTTGGGTGAAGGGGTATATGGCCTGGGGCAGGAGACTGATGGGTGCAGGAGAGGATTCAGACCTGGTGTAGGGGTATAGGAAGGGGTACAAGATTTGGAAGGGAGTTGTGACCTGGGGCAGGGATTCAGGCGGGAGTGCAGAGGTTTGGGTTGTGACCTGGGACAGGGGCTTGGAGTGGAGGGTCCAGAAGTGAGTATGGGTGCAGGGGAGGATTCTGACATGAAAGAGGGGTGCAGGAGGGAGTGCAGGGTCTGGGAGAGGGTTGTGATCGGGGGCAGGAGTGCAGAAGAGGATGCAGGAGATTGTGGTGCAGAGTCTGGGAAGGAGTATGGGTGCAGGAGTGGGAGTGCAAAGGGTTTGGGTTATGTGGGGCAAGGGAGGGCAGAGGATTGGGAGAAGGGAAGGGCTAAGGTGCCAGAGGCAGAGTCTAGCTGGGAGGTGCTTACTTGGGTGGCTCCTGGCCAGTAGCCTGGCAGGCTCCACCAAGCTCCCTGCGTGCCCTGCCCGCACCCACCTCCATCTCTCAGCATTGCAAGCCTGGGAAGGAGGGGCACTTTGTATGCTGCTTCCCTTTGGCTGGGGAGCTGTGAGATTGTGCTGAGGGTGGGGACAGCATGCAAAGCTTCTTCCCCCACACCCAAGGCTTGCAGCATTTAGAAAAGCACATGGCCCCCACTGCCGGCTGCTCGGCAGAGAGCCAGGTTGATGCTCCTGCTGGGCTGGATCTAGTAGTTTGGCAGGGAAGATTCAGCCTGCAGGCTATATTTTTCCTGCTCCTGTGTAAGTGGGTAGTATGAAAGAGTTTGGTGCATTAGGCATGCATTGGGCAATGAGCTCTTTTGAGAATCTAGTAGTTGTTTAGGTGCATAAACGGCAGCTGAGCTTTTTTTGACAATTTGGTCCCCACTGTGCATGTTTAGCAATTGAAGAATTGACTCAGATTTTGAAAACTGGAACCTTAATTTCTAAGCTTAAGTGAATCTTTAGTTTGTCTTTGGAAGCTGACATTTACCCTATGGATATGGAGGTAGGTTGACCACACATGAGGCTGATCTCCAAACTGGACTGTTGGTCAGTAGGTAATGCAGTGAGACCAGCTGCTAGGGCTCCTAATAGAACTCTAGCTGTGACTCATTACTGAAGAGGACAGGTCTTTGCTTCAGCTTTCAGAGACTTATGGAATTTCCAATTGCTTTGAACATACGCATTTAATTAGAGTTGTTCAGAAAAAATTCCTTGATAAGAGGTTGAAATTTAAAAACAGTTTGACAAAATTCAGATGTTTCTTTATGGCTTTCATGATGAAAAGAGATTGCTGTTTCGATATTGCAATGCTAAATATGAGTTTGGATAGCCCCAACAATCACTGAAATCTCTATTCACTGAATGGGATTAACTGAATGAGATTCTGTATATACAAAAAATGCTAACGTTATACACATTTTGCAGGATTAAATTGTTTGGCATTTCTTCTTTGAAATACAATTTTCTCTTTATATTTTCAATTGAGTATAAAATTAGAGATTTGGCAAAGGAGAAATTAGTGCTGATGTAGTCTCTTGCTCTGCAGAGGCAGACCTTGGAGGAACTTATCTTCTAGGTCTCTTAAATATTTTAATGGACAATGTTTCCCTGAAAATGTAATAAAGTTACTGAAAAGGTTTTATACTTACCAGTTGCCCAGAAGCAGTCATTATTAAGGAGGAAGAGAATGAACCAGGGAAGATTGTTGGGAAGCACAGACACACAGAATATGAGAAAATTGGACGACAGAGACAGACAGGCCTTGTTGCTGCAGGCAAAGGCACAAGTTGCCAGGGCACCTGGTAAGAAAAATCTCCTTTACAACTCCTTTGATTTGTAGAGATAAAATTGTCTATTTCTTGACTGCTGAACTTGTATAGATTCATTTCTCATTTCCACCATAATGTCCCCACTCCAGAAGCATAAGAGGGGCCTTCAACTATCATTTCCATTTACTTTAAGGTCCATTTACACTTCCAGTATAAAAGGGGCTGAGAGTAAATTAGAAAAAAAGCCTTAATTAATTAATTCGGCTTTGAGGAGATATGCTGGTGGGCAGCCTGTGACACATGGGCTGCATGTGGCCCAGTGGGGTTCTATATGTGGCCCGCAAGACATTTTGTTTATGATTCCCTGATTCCACTGATTTCTGTCTGTATAGTTTTTTTCCCCTACCAATATTACTGGCAATATGATTGAACACCATTGACTGAGAACCATGCACTCCCTCTGCATCCAATCAACACGCTGCTATGGTACAGTTGGCACACTCTGCAAATTCTAAGTATGCAAATGCAGTTAGCAAAAGCGCCCTATCCTGGGACACAATATTGGTTATAACAGTCTTGCGGTCCACTCACTGAGATGAGGAGGGCCACTCATGCAACCCACTCACTAGTCTATGTTGCCCATCTCTGCATAAAAGCATTTCACTAAATAAAAGAGAGGTCTTTATAAATGTATAGCTTTAGAAAAATGTATCCATGCCCTATATTCCATGCAGCTTATTATCTAAATTCAATAGCTGATCCAATTGAATGAAGAGGTATTAAAATTCTTAAAATTAATTTAGATAACACACTGAATAAAGTCACATTAGTGTATTTTATGTCAGTCTTCTATAACTTTTTTATATGATAAATACCTTGGAAATTCTAATTAACACATGGCTATGCACAAATTCATGCCTTGGAACTGGTTAAAGAGGTTGCCATTGACTGAATATTCTGTTCCAGTAAAGCAGCAGTCATACAATCAGGGACCTTCCTTATCCAAATCATTAATGACAAGTATCAGACCTGTGGGACCTCACTAGATACATCCCCCAAATTTGACAGCATGACATTAATAACTATTCTGAGTACTCTCCTTCAACCAGTTGTGCTCCCCATCTTATAGAATAGATCATATTTCTGTTCATTGCTTATGAGAATGTCATATGGGACTGTGTCAAAGGCCTTACTTTAAAAGCATCAAGATATATCATGTCTACACCTTCCCCACACTCTCTGCAGTAACTCTATCAAAGTAGGAAATTAGGTTGGCTTGGCATGATTAGTTATTAACAAATTCACACTGGCTTTATGTATAATCCTATTACCCTCAAGGTGCTTATAACTTGATTTAATAATTTTTCCAAGTATCAAAATTAGGCTGAGTGAGCTATAATTTCCCACATCCTCTTTGTTCTCCTTTTAAAGATAGGTGCTAGGAATGTAAGCGACTAGTCTACTATCCGATAAGCAAGGGGGGAGGGAGCAGGAGCTGGTGCTGGGGGGAGCCAGCTTAAAAGCCACTTCCTCCAGCACTGTCTGTGAGGCCAGGAGGACAGCAGGGACCAGACATGAGCTAGGAATTGGCTGATTCCTCTCAGCTCTTAATACATTTAAAAGGCTGATGCGTAGCAGGGTGGGACCCTGCATGAGCCAGGAATCAACTGTCCCAGCTTGCGCTGGGTCCCTCCTGCTGCGCGTTAGCCTTTTAAATGTATTAAAAGTTGACAGGATCTTAATACATTTAAAAGGCAGAACTGCAGAGGGGTTAGCTCCCGGCCCAGGAGCTAACCCTGCTGTGGCTCCCCCACTTACTGACTAATTGATGGAAAATCCATCAATTAGTCGATTAGTTGATTAAACTACATTTAACATCCCTAATAGGTGCTATGTTTGTTCTTTGGGACCTTACCCATCCTCCAGGAGTTCAAAGATAATTGCTAATGCTTCCCAGATTGCTACAGCTAGTTCCTTAAGTACCCTAGGACAAGTTGGCTGGGATCGATGAAACTCGAGTACTGCTAAATATTCTTTAAACTGTTCTTTCCCTGTTTTTGATTTGTATATGGCCCCCTTGTTGTTAACATTAACTTTGTTAAATAGTTTGGTCATCATGAATCTTTTAAGGTCTATTGAAGCCAAACAAACCTTCAGCTCCTCAGCTTTCTTGTTGTCATTAGTTATTAGCTCTCTTTCTTCCCTAAGTAGGGGACTTAAACTTTCCTTCATCTTGTCCTTATGTATTTAAAGAACCTCTTCTTATTGCCTTTTATATCCCTTGCTAGGTGTAACTCATTTTATGCTTTAGCCTTTGTGAGTTAGTCATTGAATGCTGTATTATTCTTTTATACTCCTCCTTGGCAATTACTACATATAGTCACTTTTTGCAGGATTTTTTAGATTTTTAGGTAATCAACAAACTCCTGATGGAGCAATATTGGCCTTTTCCTAGTCTTTCCTTTGCATCAGGATCATTTGCTGTTGTGCCTTCAATATTGTCTCTAAGAAACTGCCGACTCTCCTGAATCTTTTCCCTTGAATTTCCAAAACCTACCAGCTTTGAGTTTGTTAATGTCTGCGTGTTTGAAGTCTATTGTCTTTCTCTGCTGCTCAATTTCTTCCTTTTCTTAGAATTACGAAATTTTTTATTTCATGATCCCTTTCAACCAAAATTGCCTTCAGTCTTCAGAGTTGCAACCAAATCCTTTCTGGTGGTTAGAATAAAATTTAACATGACAGCCCCCAGATTACTTTTGATACCTTTTGAAACAAGACGTCCCTAATACATTCCAAGAACTTACTGGACATTTTGTATTTTGCCACATTATTTTTCCAGTCGGTGGCTGGGTAAAGTTCCTCATTACTGTACTACCAAGTCTTAAGTTTGGATGTGTCTGTTATTTGTTGTAGAAATGCCTCAACCACTTCCTCCTTTGATTTGTTAGTCTATAACAGACTTCTACCATGACATTGTACCATTCCACTCCATTTTTATATTCACCTACAGACTTCCAACTAATCTGCCTCTTATTTCCATCTGGGCCTCACAACAGCTATTTATATTCTTGGCATATAATGTATCAATCATAGAATCATATAATACTAGGAGTGGAAGGGACCTCAAGAGGTCATCGAGTCCAGTCCCCTGCCCCCATGGCAGGACCCAATATCAGCTAGATCATCCCTAATAGACATTTATCTAACCTACTCTTAAATATCTCCAGAGATGGGGATTCCACAACCTCTCTGGGCAATTTATTCCAGTGTTTAACCACCCTGACAGTTAGGAACTTTTTTCCTAATGTCCAACCTAAACCTCCCTTGCTGCAGTTTAAGCTTCTTGTTCTATCCTCAGAGGCCAAGATGAACAAGTTTTCTCCCTCCACCTTATGACACCATTTTAGATACCCAAAAACGGCTATCATGTCCCCCCTCAGTCTTCTCTTTTCTAAACTAAACAAACCCGGTTCTTTCAGCCTTCCTTCATAGGTCATGTTGTCTAGACCTTTAATCATTCTTGTTGCTCTTCTCTGGACCCTCTCCAATTTCTCCACATCTTTCTTGAAATGGGGTGCCCAGAACTGGACAAAATATTCCAACTGAGGCCTAACCAGCGCAGAGTAGAGCAGAAGAATGACTTCTCATGTCTTGCTCACAACACACCTGTTAATGCAATGCAATGTTTCTCTTTGTCTCTGCCTGATCTTCCTAAACAAGCTATGCTTCTGTATACCAATAGTCCAGTCATGAGATTTATCCCAAGTTTGTGATGCTAGTTCAATCATAATTTAATGTATGTAGTATAGTTGCATTTCTCTATAAACATGTAAGACATTTACCAGCTTCTCCCACTGTTATCCTGCTTGTTGTGCCCATGACTATTGTAATTTGCCATTCTTCCTCATCTTGAACATAAAGGTCACTGTTTTTTAAACCTACTTATGGACTTTTGCCCCCTTTGAACCAATTAAAGGCCCCCCTCATTCTTTGGGCCTAGTTTTTTAACTTGACCCAGTCCCGAACCCAACTGACCTGCGTCTGAGAAAGCAGAGTCATTTTTTAGCCTGTCCCATCCCCTCTCTTTTGAGGCAGCGCCAGGTGCAGCAGCAGCTACATGCCCTATTGCTATGCACTATTGCAGTATAAGAGTCACTGACTTCTCAGTACATGCACTCCACTGTACACACAGTGAAGAAAGATGGCCACAGCTGGCAAGAGCAGGGCACAAAGCCAGTGCTGCTCCAGTCTCATGGGCAGGAGAAAGAGCTGATCTGAACTGAGCCTGAGAGCATCCGATTGGTTGTCCATCGGACCTAGAAATGACAGTTGTAGTAGGATCTTCTCAGATTTGGACCAGGTTGTAGTGCTCTACTCACTACGTTGGTGTGTTGTGTGAAGATGCACTTCTTAAATAAGGTGGCCCCATAATTTCCCAGAAGTCTTTCCTCCTGAAACATCCTGTGGCTAAGGAAGACAAAGCCCTCCTGTTGACACCATCTGTATAGTGACACATTCATCTTGCTGTCCATATGGGAAAATATCCCAGTAAAGCGGTGTATATTCTGTACTGTTTATTATACACTTGGGTATAATAAACAAATACATGCCCTATTGCTATGCACTGTGGGTAATAAACAAAGAATCTGTTCAGTAAAAGACAGAGAATTGACTATTTACATTCAAATATTTAAATCTCTATTTTTAATCTACAATTAAAAAAGACTAAAAACAACAACAAAAGTAAAATACATAGTAGAATGTATCCGTAATGCTTATCAAAGTACTTACACATTTTAAATTGATTAATCCTCGCAATTCCCTATATCCCTAGGAAATTGGGTAAATATAAAGACAGCTATGTTAATGTCCACATTTTCAGACGTGCATTATTGTGTGTGCATTTGGACCGTAGTGTGGCTTGTGTAACCTTTTCTTGCCATGTTATTCTTCTTAATTGTAAAATAATATGGCAAGAAGCAGCAGACAGCCCAGTGATTTGTAAAAAGTATGAGGTGAACACAAATCTGATTTTCCTCCTCTAAAAGCAATTATTCTCCCTGAGTCATCTTGTGTTAAACAAAAAACATATGGTCTTGGATAAAATGTAAAATCTTACAAAAATATAGGACTAAACCCTTTCTTACATGCATCTATGTTCTCTTATTGAAATCAATGGGAATTGTAGGAGCACCTCCGAGGAAGAAGTTGCTTGTAATTCAGAGAGAGAAAGCAGTTGTAAGCCTATGCACTTTTGTTAGACTGTGCCCTTAATACTTGTTCTTTGCTTCTTCCCCAACACTCTCAAAGTGAGAAGGGCCGGTTCTGTTTTCTTACTCATTTTTTATTCACACTTGGAAAGTTTTGACAGAGAGCGCCCTCCCACTATGACTGATGGTCTTCCAGCCAAACTAAATTGGCTCTTTTGGATATTGCAATGGCAGAAAGGCTATATCGGAAATCTTTCAGTCCTGGTCCTTGATTTTCATTCATACAAGGTTAATGGTAACTAAAAAGTGATTTATTGCTGTTCAGTGATCTTTGTGAAATCAGCATGTCTCAGTCCTGTTTCTAGGCATCCATTTTAGAAACAATTGCTATGACCACAGCTGGCATTTTTTTGTTGCTCTTAGCAGAGACCAAGAATTAGATGGGTCTTGGAGAATGAACTATTCTTAACTCCCTACAAGTGGATGATCCTCTCTGGTACAGTCCCTAATGAGTACAGAGGATTTCAGGGATGTCATTCTGATCCCTTTCACCAACAGTACAAGTCACTTGGGAAGGAGCTTTATTTGGTGGCTAGAATGGGTGCCTGAGAGTCTGGAGACCAAGATTCTGTTTGCATATCTTCTGCTGATAAGCTATATGACTTTGGGCCTGTCATTTCACCTCTGGATAATACTCAATTTGTAAAAAGTTTTGGAACCCCGATACACAAGTGCTATGTGCAAATTATAATTGTTACTACTAATTTTGAACACAAAAAAGCTAACACAATGTGACAGTTTCTGTTGATCATAAAAACATAGTTCCTTCTTGAACTATACATTGCATACAAGTAGTAGGTGGGACAAGTATTTATGCTGGGAACAGACAAGGGTTAATTGGACCTCTGGAAGTGCTAGTGCACCATTTAGCATGATTTTTGAAATTTCCTTTATGTGGTCTTACAGGTGTCCAGATAGCAAAGTAATATTGATTTCTTGTTTGAACCCTAGAAGAGTTCATGAATAAAAGTCTACTAATTGTGTTAAAGTGCACTAGAACTGCAGTTACAGGTAACCAAATGTGTCATAACATCAATACCAGAACAGCAGTGGTAAGAAATAGCCACTTAAAGCATGTGTTAGGCACTAGAAACAAGAAGCATCAAATGCTGAAAGTTGATTTTTTTCACTGCAGATCTTGGAGTGACAAATGAAACTACGCTCACAAACAGGAAGAGATCTCAAGAGAGAAGGAATTTAATGCAGTCTTCTAAGCTAAATCTTGATCGTAAAGGTCTAAACAAAGACAGCAAAATAGGAAGTGTCCTTTCACAGGCTCAGCAGTCTCCAACTTGGTCATCAGCACCTACCTTGCAGGGAGCTCATAGTTCTCTCTCAAATGAGTCACATAGTCCATCCCTTACACCCACCAAAATGGCCCCTTTGAGGTTTAGAGGTGAAAACTTGTATTCTATGTTTTGCTTAAACATGGAAGATTCCTGTGAAGAAAATGATGCTACAGATGATGTATTAGAGAAAGAATTCCTTTCTTTCAATCTAAATCACTCTCTTACACCTCGAGGACAAATTAGCAAATTCAATGGATCATCCTTGGCACAAGATGAACAATGTAGCTCTGTAGAAACTGGAGATGACAGAAGCACTTCAGCAAGAACAGTTGAATCTTCTCATCAACCATTAAGACAACATAATGTAATGGATACAGCTATGGAACAGTCTTCATTAAGACGAAGAAACTCTAGGGACCACGTAAAGGCTTACACTTCAGATGGGAATTCTTCTGAAGGTGCTGATTGCAATAAAAATGAAATTCCATTATTTAGTTCAAGAAGCCCACGAGCTGAGAGCAGACCAGGCAGTGCACCTGTTGAGGAGACTCTTAACATTAGCGCTATAGATAAGCCTAGTGTCAGTGTTTATAACAGAGACCTGCAAGCCTATGAAAGCAGTCAGAGGCGTTATACTGATCTCCTTACTTCTGCAAGGTCAACAGTTCATAGGCCATTATTATATTCTGCATACAATACTCCAAGATCATTAATTCAGTCTACACACAGAGCTGAGGTCCCAACAAATTTGAGCTCGACAACCTCTCAAGTAGCGGATTTGGATGGAAGTTCAAGGTTTAATGTTCGTAGGCCTTTAACTCCTATAAGAAGTAGAGATTCATTATCGGCTACAGAAAGTTATGAATCTTCAACACCTATAGTCAGTGTACCCGAAGACAATAGCCTACTGGAGGATAATATAGATAATGGTTTAAAGAGTACATCTCCAAATGCTCCCTTACATGATGAAGAGAGCTTACTAAATTCACATAGTTCTTTTTTATCTATAGATTCTTCCAACCCATCTTTGTTTCAAACTAATTTCACAGCCCACCTTCACATGGCTGGCGCACTACATGATCAATTACCACTTGCTTTAATTGCAGTGTCTGATTTACAAAATCCAAGTAATGCTATGAGTAATATTGAAGCATATGATACTACAAGTACAAAGGAAAACAAAAATGCAGACCCAGAAAAGCTTAAGAAACTACAGGAGAGGTGAGAAATATGTATTGTTACCCTTTTCACATAAGCAATTAGCCCGTTTGAGACCTGGTGGGTCATGTCCATTGGAGGAGAAATTGATGGAGGTAGGTATGTCTGAAGCAAACCTTTTTATTTCCAAAATACATACAAAGTCCTGTTTCCCTGAACACAGAAGGAAACAAACAGCTGGAGATATTTTCTTTGCTCACAGCTCCAGGCCCATTCAGACTAAAAACTATTGCTATAGATTTTTCTCAGAGCCAGACTGCGTGGGGTTGTTTAGGCTGTGCTTGGCTTTCTTCCTCTTCTGTGGGGGTTTCTCCTGCCCCTCTCTGAGACAACCACTACTAAAACAGTATCTGGGAAGCTCCCCTTTGCCCAGTAAATGGAACTACCTCACACGTGCTTGTGACAGTGTTTTGGGTAGTGAGGTGTGCTTGTGTTTGTGGCTGAGACTTACGGTTTCATGAAAGGATTTGTTTCTTAGGACGTCTACACTACTCAGATCAACGCTGTTGCAGTCAATCTTCCTGCTAACTCAAACTCAGAGCATGCTCCCATTGGCACCAGTACTCTTGCTCCTCAAGAGGAGTAAGGGAAACCAATAAGAGTGTTTGGTCTTGTCAGCCTCCCACTTTGTGGACAGGGTGAAAACACAGTTTAAGATATACATAGCTGGAGTTGTATACTGTTTAGCTGGAGTTGATGTAGCTTCAGCCTTCTGCTGTAGTGTCGACAAGGCCTTAGCGCTATCTTAAATGAAAGCTGGCAGTTATATACCCCAGTTTTAATGAAGCTTACTTTAACTTATAGCAGTTTAATCATACCAATCACACATCCATGATTTCATGGTAACATGCAGTTCTATATAGCTAAACTTAACTGGCATTGCCCGGATCCTTCATTGCAGGGGATTGGCATGGATGAGCAGCAGCAGTTAGGGCAGATCCTTGATGATGTGGGGAGCTCAAAGCAGGAGGCTGGGAGTGTGGTTGGATGCAGGATTAAAGGTTGGGGGGTCACGCAGTGCTAGGAGGTGGGCTATGGCTCCTTTGAGGGGATTGGGGCTGCGCTGTCCAGTCCTGATGGTGCTCATGAGAGACAGGGCCATGGTGACGCAGCTAGTGAGGCTTCCCACCCCAGTCCCGGGATGTGAGGGGGGGGAGCAGGGCAAGAGCGTGCAGGGAGGCCACTTACTTGGGTCAGTGGCCAGCAAGATGGTGAGCCCTGGCCCCAGCTGACCACTGTCTTCCTCGTGTGGCTGTCTCTGCAGTATAGTTGTCCCCCATGCTCACTACCCCCAGTGAACACTGCAATATAGCTGTCCTGATCAGCCCCCTCCCTTTCCACATTATGGAAAACAAATTCTAGGCACATCCCATTTTCCTGATGCAATCAAACGTTGGCCTTTAAGAGGAAGTTGTATACCAAATTTGGTGGTCCTAGCTCTTACTCTTTAGGAGGACTTTTTGAACAAATGGACATGCAAACAGATGAATGAACTCCCACACACACCCCCCCCCCCCCCCCGTGGAATTTAATATAGAATACTAGAACATGCCTTAGCTCAATGTAAGCCCATTGCTTCTTATCCTATCATCAGGGGCCCAAGAGAACAATTTTCCCTCCCTCCTCCTTGTAACACCCTTTTAGCTACTCGAAAACTTCTATCATGTCCTCTCTCAGGGTATGTCTACACTACAGCACTAATTCAAACTAACTTAATTCAAATTAGTTAATTTGAACTAGTGCATCTAGACCTAAAAACTAGTTCAAATTAGCATGTCCATTGAGTGGACCCTGAACCAAAGTTAAGGCTAGCCGGAAGCAGTACCGGCAGGGCATCAGGTTAGGACTTAGAGCATGGAGCTGCTGTCTCAGGCTAACCGAGGGCTGTGCTTAAAGGGACCTGACCTCCACCCCAGACAGTTCAGGGGTTCCCTGCTCGCTGGTCTACCTCGATGAGGGAAAGCAAAGCAGTCCTGGCTTGGAGTGCCGAGTGTGGGCATTCAGGGCACATCACAGCACTCTGCCATCAGCCTGACTGCACTTGCCGCAGGCTGCCATCCAGGGGGCTGCAGGAGAGCTTCCACCCCAAGGAGCCCACAGAGCCACCCCAGTCCTCCCTAGCGGGGGCTCATACCCCATTCCTTCCTCACCTCCTTCCACTTACCCCTCCCTAGTCCCCCTTCCTGATGTGTCCTTTATTTTGTACATGTGTTCAAAATTAGAAACTCTTTAACAAAACTCAGGGAGACTGGGAAAAGGAAGTGAGAGGGGAGGGCAACTAAAATGATCAGGGGTTTGGAACAGGTCCCATATGAAGAGAGGCTAAAGAGACTGGGACTTTTCAGCTTAGAAAAGAGGAGACTGAGGGGGATATGATAGAGGTCTATAAAATCATGAGTGGTGTGGAGAGGGTGCATAAAGAAGAGTTCTTCATTAGTTCCCATAATAGAAGGACTAGGAGGACACCAAATGAAATGAATAGGTAGCAGGCTTCAAACTACCAGAAAGTTCTTCTTCCCAAAGCAAGTAGTCAACCTGTGGAACTCCTTGCTGCAGGAGGCTGAAGGCTAGAACTAGAACAGAGTTTAAAGAGAAGTGAGATCAATTCATGGAAGTTGGGTCCATGGAGTGGTATTAGCCAGGGAGTAGAAATGGTGTCTCTGGCCTCTGTTTGTGGAAGGCTGGAGATGGATGGCACGAGACAAATGGCTTGGTCATTGTCTTCAGTCCATCCCCTCCAGGGTACCTAGTGTTGGCCGCTGTCGTCAGACAGGCTAGATGGACCTTTGGTCTGACCCAGTATGGCCATTCTAAGCTCAGGGCTCAGGGTCGGGGGTCTCACTGGACCACCCTGATTTTCATGCAAACCTGCTCCTGGGTGGCCAGGCTGGTAGCTATCCTGCCCTAGACGGCCACTTTCCCATGCCTAGTGCGGAGGTTGTGGACGTTGGAGGCTTCCCCCCAAACCTCGATGAGGTCCACAATCTCTGCACTAGACCAAGCGGGCGCCTGCCTCCTGCGGCCCCCTGCCTCCTGCGGCCCCGGGCAGGCTCCTGGGAGCCACCAGCCTGGTCCTGGAAAGAGGCAGAGGGCTGGGTGGCAGCAGGTGGCTGGCTCGGGCCGTGCCAGGTGCAGGGTCTGCTGGCTGGGTGCTGGCAGGCTTGCAACTGACATGGGTACCGTAGTCAGACTATGCCCCTTTAAGGGCTTTGGGGCCAGGAGGGGGGCAGAAGAGTTTCCCTGGTGGTGCCCAGAGTGGCCACCAGGGAAAGCTGGGGAGGGCTAGCCTCCCACTAGTTCGAATTAAGTGGCCACACAGCCCTTAATTCGAACTACTTAATTGGAACTAGGCGTTAATCCTCAGAATGAGGTTTACCTAGTTTGAATTAAGTGGTTTGTATGTGTAGCGCCTATTAAAAGTAATTCGAACTAATGTCTGTTATGTCTACATTACAAAGTTAATTTGAACTACCCTCAGGCTACTGTTTTCCAAACTAAATAAACCCAGTTCTTTCAGTCTTCCCTCATAGGCCATGTTTTCTAGATCTTTAATCATTTGTTACTCACTCTTCAATTTCTCCACATCTTTCCTTAAGTGTGGTGCCCAGAACTGGAGAGAGTACTCCAACTGAGGCCTAATCAGCACACAGAGCGGAAGAATTACTTCTCATGTCTTACTCACAACCCTCCTGTTAATGCATCCTAGAATCATGTCTGCTTTTTTTGCAAGACTGTCAGACTGTTGACTCATTTAGCTTGTGGTCCACTATGACCCCTAGAGATCCTTTTCTACAATACTCCTTCCTAGACAGTCACTGCATATTCTGTATCTGTGAAATGGATTGTTCTTTCCTAAGTGGAATACTTTGGATTTGTCCTTAAGTTTCATTCTATTTACCTCAGACCATTTTTCCAGTTTGTCCAGATCGTTTTTAATTATGACCCAATCCTTCAAAGCACTTTTAACTCCTCCCAGCTTGATATTATCTGCAAACTTAGTAAGCATACTCTATGCCAATATCTAAATGGTTGATGAAGATATTGAAAAAACCAGTCCCAAAACTGACACCTGCAGAGCCTCATTTGTTATGCCCTTCCAGCATAACTGTACACCATTAATTGCTACTCTGAGAACAGTTATCCAGCCAGTCATGCACCCACTTTATGGTAGCTCCATCTAGGTTGTATTTCCCTAGTTTATTGATAAGATCATGAGACCCCATATCAAATGCTTTACTAAGGTCTAGGTATGCCATGTCCACCGCTTCTCCCTTATCCACAAGACTTGTTATCCTATCAAAGAGATATCAGATTATTTTGACATGATTTGTTCTTTACAAATCCATGCTGGCTGTAATCTATCACCTTATCTCAGATGTTTGCAGATAAATTTCTTAATTATTTGCTTCATTATCTTTCCTGGCACAGAAGTTAAGATGACTGGTCTGTAGTTTCTTGGGTTGCTCTTATTTCCCTTTTTATAGATGAGCACTAGATTTGCCCTTCTCCAGTCTTCTAGAATCTATCACAACTTCCAAGACTTTTAAGAGATGATAGCTAGTGGCTCAGATACCTCCTCCAGTATTCTAGGATGCATTTCATCAGGCCCTGGTGACTGGAAAACGTCTAAGTAGTTTAATTTGTTGTTTTCCTAGTTTAACTTCTAAGCCTACCCCATATCCACTAGTGTTCGCTGTGTTAGGCATCCTGTCATCACCAAGTGAAAACCGAAACAAGTCATTAAGCACCTCTGTCACTTCCAAGTTATTGTTTCTCCTTCACTGAGCAATTTATTTATATTAAAGTTGCCTAGTGTTTGTTACCAAAGGGAACCCAAAAGATCAAGTGTCAAATGGCTGGACTTTGTCTTTCATATGGTTAAGACTCATTACTAGCTACCTTTGTGTACACAGATTAAGCATAGATAGTAACCCCTTCTCTCCCTCCCCTTAGAATGCCCATTAGTTACAGTGATAGAAATGTAGCCGTGTTAGTCTGGGGTAGTTGAAGCAAAATGCAGGACAATGTAGCACTTTAAAGACTAACAAGATGGTTTATTAAATGATGAGCTTTCGTGGGCCAGACCCACTTCCTCAGATCAAATAGTGGAAGAAAGTAGTCACAACCATATATACCAAAGGATACAATTTAAAAAAATGAACAAATATGAAAAGGACAAATCACATTGCAGAACAGAAGGAGGAGGGGGGGGGGTGGGAAGGGGGAGGAAGGAAGGTAAGTGTCTGTGAATTGCTGATATTAAAGGTAGGGAGAGTGGGATGTTTGTGAGTTAATGGTATTACAGGTGATAATTGGGGAAACTGTCTTGATAATGGGTGAGAAAGTTCAAAGACTTGTTAAGTCCCTGGTGGTAAGTGTCGAATTTTAACATGAATGACAGTTCAGAGGATTCCCTTTCAAGTGCAGATGTAAAAGGTCTTTGTAGCAGAATGCAGGTGGCTAAGTCATTTAGAGAGTGTCCTTTCTGGTTAAAGTGGCAAGAAACTGTTTTCTCTTTGTGATCTTGTCTAATATCTGTTTTGTGGGCATTAATCCTTTGGCGAAGTGTCTGAGATGTTTGTCCAATGTACATAGCAGACGGACACTTTCGGCACATGATAGCGTAGATTATATTTCTGGATGCGCAGGAATATGTGTTCTTGATCTTATAACTCACTTGGTTAGGTCCAATAATGGTATCAGCAGAATGAATATGTGGACAAAGCTGGCAACGGGGTTTGTTGCAAGGGAAGGTACCAGGGTTGGTATTAGTGTGGTATGTCCTGTGGTGGTTGGTAAGAATCATCTTGAGGTTAGGTGGTTGTCTATAGGAGACTATGGGTCTGTCTCCCAGAGCCTCTTTGAGTATGGTATCCTGTTCCAATATAGGCTGTAGTTTATTGATAATGTGTTGGACAGGTTTAAGTTGGGGGTTGTAGGTGATGACAAGTGGTGTTCTATTGTTGGTTTTCTTGGGTCTGTCTTGAAGTAGATGGTTTCTAGGTATTCGTCTGGCTCTTTCAATTTGCTTTTTTGTTTCTCTGGGTGGGTAGTTGAGATTTATAAATGCTTGGTAGAGATCCTGAAGCTTCTGGTCTCTGTCAGTGGGGTTAGAGCAGATGCGGTTGTATCGAAGGGCTTGGCTATAGACGATGGATCGTGTGGTGTGTTCTGGATGGGAGCTGGATGCATGTAGGTAACTGTATGAGTCAGTGGGTTTTCTGTAGAGAGTGGTGTCTAATTTTCCATTGTTGATTTGTACGGTGGTGTCCAGGAAGTGGATCTCTCGTGTAGAATGGTCCAGGCTGAGGTTGATGGTGGGGTGTAGGTTGTTGAAATCTCTGTGGAATATCTCCAGTGTTTCTTGGCCATGTGTCCAGATCATAAAGATGTCATCGATGTACCGTAGGTAGAGGAGGGGTGAAAGGGGACGGGAGTTGAGGAAACGTTGTTCTAGGTCAGCCATAAAGATGTTAGCATACTGTGGGGCCATGCGTGTACCCATGGCTGTGCCGCTGATCTGGAGGTATAAGTTGTTCTCAAACCGGAAATAATTGTGGGTGAGAACAAAGTTACATAGGTCTGCTATCAGGTTGGCAGTAGTGTCCTCTGGGATAGTGTTTCTAATTGCTTGTAATCCGTCTTCATGTGGGATGTTGGTATATAGAGCTTCTACATCCATGGTGGCAAGGATGGTATTATTGGGGAGGTTATCGATGTTTTGTAGTTTCCTTAGGAAGTCAGTAGTGTCTCGGAGATAGCTGGGGGTATTGGTTACGAAGGGTTTGAGAAGAGTGTCTACATAGCTGGATAGACCAGTAGTGAGCGTGCCAATACCAGAGATGATGGGACGTCCGGGGTGCCCAGGTTTATGGATCTTGGGAAGTAGATAGAACAATCCTGGTCGGGGGTCAGAAGGTGATTCTGTGAGGATTTGTTCCCGAGTAGCTGTGGGGAGGCTTTTAAGGAGACAGTGTAGTTTCTTTTGGTAGTCCAAGGTGGGATCAGAGGGGAGAGGTTTGTAAAATGTGGTGTTCGAGAGTTGTCTGGTTGCCTCCTGGTTATAGTCGGCCTTATTCATAATGACCACAGCACCCCCTTTGTCAGCTGGTTTGATTACAATGTCCAGGTTGTTTTTGAGACTCTGGATGGCATGGTGTTCAGCGCGGCTAAGATTGTGTGTCGCTTGTTGTCGTTTGCGAATAATGTCAGTCTGTGCGTTGTTGCGGAAGCTGTGTATATAGAAATCCAGATTGTAATTCCGACCGTCAGGGGGAGTCCATATAGAATTATTTTTCCTTTGGTGTTGGTAGGGGGGATCTGGTAGGTCAGATTGATGTTCAGTGGTGGTTTGGAAATATTCTCGGAGACGGAGGCGGCGAAAAAAAGCCTCAAGGTCACCACAAAATTGTATCCAGTTTGTGGGGGACGTGGGGCAGAAAGAGAGACCCCGGGACAAGACAGACTCTTCTGCTGGATTGAGTTTGTAGCTGGAGAGGTTAACAATATTATCCGGTGGGTTGAGGCAGTTGCTGTTGTAGCCAGTGGTATGGAGCAGGTTAGAAAATTTATTGTCTTTTCTTTGTTGTAGGGAATAGAAGTGTGTATAGTAGATTTCTTGTCTGGTGGAACAAAAGTCTTGCAAGGTGTCAGTCGGTGTGGATGTTTGTCTTGAGATGAGACGATCTAAGTTAGAAATGTCATTCTTGATGGTTTTCTGTTTCTTGTATAAAATACTTATCAGGTGGTTTCTTAATTTCTTGGATAGTGTGAGGCAGAGTCTTTCACTGTAGTCAGTGAAGTATGTTGATCTTAGTGGATTGTTCACTTTCAGTCCTTTGGGTACGATGTCCATTTTCTTGCACTTGGATAGAAAGATGATGTCTGTCTGTATCTGTGCGAGTTTCTTCATATGGTTGATGGATTTCCATTCCAAACGGCTAAATGTAGTGCCTTGCATGTAGAATAGTGATAGAAATGTAGCCGTGTTAGTCTGGGGTAGTTGAAGCAAAATGCAGGACAATGTAGCACTTTAAAGACTAACAAGATGGTTTATTAGATGATGAGCTTTCGTGGGCCAGACCCACTTCCTCAGATCAAATAGTGGAAGAAAGTAGTCACAACCATATATACCAAAGGATACAATTTAAAAAAATGAACAAATATGAAAAGGACAAATCACATTGCAGAACAGAAGGAGGAGGCGGGGGGGTGGGAAGGGGGAGGAAGGAAGGTAAGTGTCTGTGAATTGCTGATATTAAAGGTAGGGAGAGTGGGATGTTTGTGAGTTAATGGTATTACAGGTGATAATTGGGGAAACTGTCTTGATAATGGGTGAGAAAGTTCAAAGACTTGTTAAGTCCCTGGTGGTAAGTGTCGAATTTTAACATGAATGACAGTTCAGAGGATTCCCTTTCAAGTGCAGATGTAAAAGGTCTTTGTAGCAGAATGCAGGTGGCTAAGTCATTTAGAGAGTGTCCTTTCTGGTTAAAGTGGCAAGAAACTGTTTTCTCTTTGTGATCTTGTCTGATATCTGTTTTGTGGGCATTAATCCTTTGGCGAAGTGTCTGAGATGTTTGTCCAATGTACATAGCAGACGGACACTTTCGGCACATGATAGCGTAGATTATATTTCTGGATGCGCAGGAATATGTGTTCTTGATCTTATAACTCACTTGGTTAGGTCCAATAATGGTATCAGCAGAATGAATATGTGGACAAAGCTGGCAACGGGGTTTGTTGCAAGGGAAGGTACCAGGGTTGGTATTAGTGTGGTATGTCCTGTGGTGGTTGGTAAGAATCATCTTGAGGTTAGGTGGTTGTCTATAGGAGACTATGGGTCTGTCTCCCAGAGCCTCTTTGAGTATGGTATCCTGTTCCAATATAGGCTGTAGTTTATTGATAATGTGTTGGACAGGTTTAAGTTGGGGGTTGTAGGTGATGACAAGTGGTGTTCTATTGTTGGTTTTCTTGGGTCTGTCTTGAAGTAGATGGTTTCTAGGTATTCGTCTGGCTCTTTCAATTTGCTTTTTTGTTTCTCTGGGTGGGTAGTTGAGATTTATAAATGCTTGGTAGAGATCCTGAAGCTTCTGGTCTCTGTCAGTGGGGTTAGAGCAGATGCGGTTGTATCGAAGGGCTTGGCTATAGACGATGGATCGTGTGGTGTGTTCTGGATGGGAGCTGGATGCATGTAGGTAACTGTATGAGTCAGTGGGTTTTCTGTAGAGAGTGGTGTCTAATTTTCCATTGTTGATTTGTACGGTGGTGTCCAGGAAGTGGATCTCTCGTGTAGAATGGTCCAGGCTGAGGTTGATGGTGGGGTGTAGGTTGTTGAAATCTCTGTGGAATATCTCCAGTGTTTCATAAGTTAGAATTAGAAAGCCTAATTCGAACTACCTACTCCGTGCCGCGTGTAGCCGCGGGCACAGAGTCCGAACTGCTGGGGATTTAAAAATGGCAGCGCCCGGCAAGATGCAAATGAAGCCTGGGATATTTAAATCCCGGGCTTCATTTGCAACTTCGATTGACTACATTAACCACCCTAGTTTGAACTAGGGTGGTAGTGTAGACATACCCTAGGAGTGTTAATTATAATACAACTTAAATCTAATATTGGACTGAAGAGTTTGGTGAAAGAATACTTCTGATTTGTTCAATTGTCTCTTTAGTCTACTAGCAGAAGACTCAGAAGAGGAAGGAGACCAATGTCGTATATGTCAGATTGCTGGGGGCTCCTTAACCAATCCACTGGTAGAACCATGCGGCTGTGTAGGAACTCTACAGTTGGCTGAAAGCAAAAATAAAGTCAGGTAGGAGAAAGAGTACTACAAGTGCAGTAGCATGTTAATTTCAGAAACTTCATTTGAGGGCAAAATCCACTTTTGGAATCATCCCCTGACATAAGTGGAGCTATACCAGATAATAGCAGTGGAATTACACCAGGGATGAATTTATCCCATAGTTTTGTCAACATTACAATAGTTTTCCAAAAATGCAAAAAGTTCAAATAAGTGCTTAGACTACTAGCCATTAGTCAATGAGTCCAACTAAGATTCTAGTTTCCAGAGTTTGCAGTTAAAAATAAGCAAAAATATATATATAAAATCCTGAGGGATTTACAAAGTACCAGCAATATCATGTGATCAAATTTTGTAGGATTGATAAACTTCACATGTAAGACTAATAGTGAGTAAAGAAAGCATGCTGAATGACATCCATAAAGATATTTAAGAAAGGGGGAAGGATCCTACATAGGATGAATTTTAGTGTTCATGAAAGTAACTGATAGAGAAAGATACACTGCAAATAATAGCTATGCATGTAGTCTTCCCTCATCTTCATCAATACTACAAATACTAAATTGAAACATTCTTGGCATTCTATTTTTATCCTGAATGAAAAAAATCAGGATTATATTGCTATACATGTGAATTGCACAGTAGGGTTTTCCTAGGTATTCTGTAACATGGAAGACATTTTAACACAAATTTTGTGAATACTCCCCCTTCCATCTAATATCACATCAATTAAGCCATTGCTTACATAGAAAGGGAATACTGAGCATGCAGTTATGTGTTTTAACTGTAATTTAGCAGCTAGAAATGAAGGGGAAGTGTCAGTCATACAGGAGCCAGAGAATCAGCTCTCAGCCTCCAGATATAATAAGCAAGTTTATAATTTAATTCCATGTATTGTGAGTACCTACTGTTTAGATGTGTCAAAAATTCATTTTAGATTAAAAGTCAGGGATCCACACCAACCTACTTTTATTCTCTACCAGCAGAAGATATAGCAGATTAAATGTAGATTCTTAATCCTTAGTCAAATCCCTGACTGATCCAAGAATCAAGGGGTGAGCTACATTTCCCTCATCTTCCCCAGATCCTGCCCTGGATTCAGGGAAATTTCAGCCTGCCAGCTTGGAAGCCAGAGTGAAAAAAAACACTAGAACTAGGAGCAATACAATACAGTGGGCCTGAAAGCAATTTGAACCCATTGTTGTATCTTAGTTTTATACAGGCAATGTCTGAGTGCCTTCCACCAACAATGGCAATAGCAAAATTCCAAGAGGATTTCATGGGGTCTCACATGTCTCCCATTTTGGGGTGAAAATCTGCATGCAGTTCTTGAGCTGAATGATTTCCTCTGAGGTTTGTCTCAGTTTTATGGTGGAAAGTATCTGGAGCCTGTTGCTCCTTTTTGTTGTTTGAAGGAGATAAGGGGGAGGAAAGACATCTAGTAAAAAAAAAAAAAAAAAAAAAACCACACAAAACTTAGGCAGCACACTGGACCTTTATTTAGTTGGTATAGGCCACACCTTGAGTATAGAGTGGATGCTATTTATATTTTACTTGAGACTCAAGTGACATTTTCCTGCACTTCTACATTCACTGAACTGCTGAAGATAATGAGAGTGTGTTGTAGAAAGTATAAGACTCACTCTGTGGTCAAAGAGAGAATAGACAAAGTGTCCAGTCTCACTGACTAGAGTCAGTGGCAAAATTCCTGCGAACTTCAATGGAAAGAAGCCCAAAATATTTAAAGCAAATACAAATAGTGTTCTGCTTATTATCTGGAGGTGTTAGAGGATTTGAGAATCTGGCTTTTATTTCAGAACCTAAAATTGGGAACTGACCTCCTCTGAAAGCCTGGTCCCAGTTGTGGGTGTTGACCCTTTGAAAAAATCTGGCCCTGAAATATTGTGAAAAACTGGACCTGAATGGCCACTTAAATATTGATCAAGGTCTGGATCTCATAGCTCCTGCCTTTGTAACCCATATTATATGGAGAAAGATACAGCTAGTATTTTAAACTATTATACAAAGCTCACATAATAGGTATTAGAATGCAGTTCAGTGGAATTGAGATTCAAAACTTAGCAACCTTGAGTAAAAATTCAGCTTTAAATAAAGGTTCCGTGTAGTAGTGATTTTGTAATTTACAGAGACACTGTGCTCAATATGGACTTACAAGTTCAATATTTAATTCTTCATTTAATTTTAGGTGCTGAGTTGGGGGCAGTGAAAACCTGTGAACTGTGTAAGCAGGGTCTGATAACTGATCTGGATGATTTTGATGTGAATGACTATTACAGAAATCACCAACAGTCTCGGGTAAGAAACAGACTTTCCAGATGAGAGCCTGTAATCCTATTTTGGTACTGCTGTCTTGCAATACTCTTGAGTGTAATGATCTTCCTCATGTGCTGAAGCCAACTAAACTGTTAGGAAGAGATAGGCTTTTACATTTCTTTAAATCTGAGTAAGAAAGCCCATGAATAATAAGAATATGCAAATAATAATTGCAGTTTGGGTCACTAAACTGCCCACTATCATAAGGCTTTGAGTGAAGGAAGTTTGTAATTACATTTGAAGATGGGGTATAACATTGTTTGCTTGGTAGAAGTTTAAATTTAAACAGACAAGCAGGAATTCAGGTAATTTTTTTAATTTCAAGGAATTGAACATCATCCCATTAGCATGTTATTTGTGAAACAAGTTAAACATTTTAAATAGAAAAATGTAGGGGTAAGATTTAGAGCTATAAGAAAACAAACCTAGTACCACAATAGACTTTGTTCTTTGGCAGGCATACAGCTAAAAATATTATCTGCTTAATTTTCCAGAAGTATCCCAAACCTGCAGTTTAATTTTTAACTATAAGTTTTACTGTAAGCGATGGGGGTCAATTTGTTCATAAACAAAGTAAATGTTTATCATAAAGGGAGACAAGAATGGTAGGGTAGGTTGTGCTAGTGGTGAAGTGGCAAAATGTGTGAAGGAAAGCATAAAGTCAAATATTAGGGTCTCTACACTCTGGAATGTTGAACCATAAATAGACTAAAGTGATAAGCATTCACATGTTTTCCTCAAATTTTAAAGTGTTTACAGAATTACTGGCAATACCTATATTTGGTACAGTTTGACAACTGAACACATCGAATTTACACATGTAAGGACATGCTGCAAAGCTCTCTTTTCCTAGCCATTTGAAAATGGAAGGAAGTACAAGGATGAGTAATTGTTGGAGAGAGAGAGAGAAAGGGAATTAAGCTAGTGGGAGGTCTTGATTGCTGGGTGTGATTTATATCTGTTTGTATTGATGCACTTTTAAGTATTATTTGTGATGTATTTTAATTATGCCAAAAGCACCTAAAGCATATGGATTGATACGCTATTTAGCATTTATAGAAATAAAAATACTGCAATGTGCCAGAGTCTTTCCCACTTACTTGTAGAAGATAGACAATCTGTTAGAAGTCTCAAATTATTTGCAGTAAACAGTGTATATTTCCCCATCTGCATCCCTCTAGGCCTTTAGTCATTAAAAAGTAAATGATTTCCCAGCATGCTTTAGCAGAAGTGATACCATCAAGCTATTTTCTAGCTGATTGATTTGCCATTGTGCATTGTAATGTGTATGAATATAAACATTCGCTTAGAAAGAAATTGTCTATAGATACCCTCCTCTAGGCTGTCAGTGGGTATCGTGGCTTGGAATATAATTTCCTGTCTGAATGGAACAAAAAATCTGCAACCATAAATACTGTAAAAACTAAAGATAGTTTACAAAAACTCTTAAAATTATTTTGCTGGACATGCTAGATTACAGCATTCATCTGGGCTAAGTACATTTCCAGATTAATGAATATCTTAGCATATTTTACTGGTAGCACTGACAGAGGATGCTGTTGAAAAAGTTTTGACCAGTTGATTTAGAATCATAGAACTGTAGAGCTGGAAGAGACCTCAGAAGGTCATCAAGTCCAGCCCCCTGCTCTAGGCAGGGCCAATCCCAACTAAAATCAACCCAGCCAGGGCTTTGTCAAGCTGAGACTTAAACACCTCTAGGGATGGAGACGCCACTACTTCCCTAGTTAACCCATTCTAGTGCTTCACCACACTCCTAGTGAAATAGTTTTTCCTAATATCCAACCTGGACCTCTCCCACCACAACTTGAGCCCATTGCTCCTTGTTCTGCCACCCGTCACTACTGAGAACATCCTCTCTTCATTGTCTTTGGAACCTCCCTTCAGGAAGTAGAAGGCTGCAATCAAATCCCCCCCTCAGTCTTCTCTTCTGCAGACTAAAACTCAAATCCCTCCATCTCTACTTATAGGGCATGTGCTCCAGCCCCCTAATAATTTTGGTCACCTTCCACTGGACTTTCCCCAATATGTCCACATCATTTCAGTAGTGGGGGGCCCAGAACCAGACAATATTCTGGATGTGGCCTTACCAGAGCTCAATAAAGGGGAATAATCACTTCTCTGGATCTACTGGCAATGCTCTTCCTAATGCACCATTAGCCATCTTGACTACAAGGGCATACTGTTGACTCATATCCAGCTACTTAGCCTTCAGTCCCCAGCCTGTAACAGTGCTTGGGATTCTTCTGTCCCAAGTGCAGGACTCTACACTTGACCTTGTTGAACCTCAGATTTCTTGTGGCCCAATCCTCTAATCTGTCCAGGTCACTCTGGACCCTATCCCTGCCCTCCAGCGTATCTACCTTTCCCCCTAGCTTAGGGTCATCTGCTAACTTGCTGAGGGTGCAATGCATCCCTTCATCCAGGTCATTAAGATGTTGAACAAAACCGGTCATAGAACCAATCCTTGGGGCACTCCGCTAGAAACTGATCACCAACCCTACATAGAGCCATTGATCACTACCTGTTGGGCCCAACAGTCTAGCCAGCTCTCTCTCCATCTTACAGTTCATTTATCCAATCCATATTCCCTTAACTTGCTGACAAGAACATTGTGGGAGGCCATATCAAAAGCTTTGCTAAAGTCAAGGTATATCACATCCACTGACTTTCCCATTTCCACAGAGCCCATTACCTCATCATAAAAGCTAATCAGATTGGTCAGGCACAACTTGCCCTTTGTCAATCCATGTTGACAATTCCTAATCACTTCCCCTCTTCCAAGTGCCTCAAAATGGATTCCTTGAGGATCCCCTCCATGATTTTCATGGTCTGTACAGGCAGTCCCCGGGTTACATGGATCCGATTTACATCGGATCCCTACTTACAAACAGGGTGAGGCAACCCTGCACTAGCTGCTTCCCCACAGCAGACCAGGGAGATGTGGAGCGGCTTCTCAGCAGACATCTCAGCTTGAGAATAAAGGACTGAGGGAAGTGAGGTGCGGGAGAATAAAACTGAGCTCTGGAGAAATGTTTGGCTAGAGTTTCCCCTACAATATGTACCAGTTCTGACTTGCATACAAATTCAACTTAAGAACAAACCTACAGTCCCTATCTTGTATGTAACCCGGGGACTGCCTGTAGTTCCCTGGATTGTCCTTCCCTCTTTTAAAGATGGGCACTACATTTGCCTTTTTCCAATCTCCCGATCTCCACAAGTTTTCAAAGATAAATGTCATTGCGGAGCCCTTGGCCATTACCAACTCCCTCAGGACCCTCGGATGCATTATATTCAGGCCCATGGATGTGTGTATTCTTAGTTTTTCTAAATAGTTCCTAACTTGTTCTTTCCCCACCAAGGGCTGTTCACCTCCATCCCATACTGTGTTGCCTAGTGCATTTGTCTGGGAGCTGACCTTGTCCGTGAAGATAGAGGCAAAGAAAGCATTGAATCCTTCAGCTTTTCCCACATCTGTCACTAGGTTACCTCCCTCATCTAGCAAGGGCCCCACTCTCACTCTGATCACCCTCTTATTTCTAATATGCCTGTAGAAACCTCTCGTTACTCTTCATATCCCTTACTAGCTGCAATTCCAATTGTAATTTCGTCTCCCTGATAACTGGGGTGGAGGGGTGGGGGAGTAAATATATTGCTCGAATATAGGGGAGTTCTGTCCAAATTTCCACTTCTTGTAAGCTTCCTTTGTGTTTAAGCTCACCAAGGATGTCCCCAGTAAGCCAATCTGGTCACCTACCATATTTGCTTTTCTTGCTGTGCATCGAGTGGTTTCTTCCCATACCTTTAATAAGGCTTTTAAAAACTGCCAGCTCTCCTGGACTCCTTTCCCCTTCATGTAAGCATCCCAGGGAATCCCGCCCATCAGTTCATTTAGTATTCAGTATGCATGTTTAAAAAAGTCAGTGCTCATTTAAATTTATTGCTTTATTTAAATCTGCTTCAACAGTGAAATGTAATGACTTCTGGGCTGGGAAGATGGTTGCTGTTCCGAACTAGCAATATGATACAGTGTATTTGGAGGGGAAATTGAAACTAACAACAACAACAACGATTCTTTTCACCATTGGCAGTTTAATGCACTAATTACTGTATAGAATAACACCCACCACATTAGTCAAAAGCCAGGCAAAATAATTCTTACATTTTGTTCTGCAGATTGATTAGATTCATAATTAACAACCTTCAGCTAGAAAGGGAGAGTTTGGGGGGGGGGGGGCAGAATGACTTACCCCAGAGTGTGGCCAAAACACTGGGTTTTCCACATCACTATGACTGCTAAAAAAGTGCTGTGAGATCTTTAAGTCTACAGATGGTCAGGACCTCCAATTTTCATCTTATCAGAAAGCTGAAACATCCAGCATCATAGCATATTCTACCACACCATGGTATAGAACTGAAAGGAAGGGCTTCCCTGGAGAGCTTCCAACTAATTATGGAAAGGCCTAGTCAGATCTAACAAGCAAAGGCAGAATATCTGTATTGTATTTATGTGCCAAGATACCCAGCAGTTTAAGATGGTATAGCTTACTTTTTGTTAATTAGCAGCTGAGATTTGCCATTGCCTGTGCCAAGGAAATAACTTACTTGTTTTTTTCCCTGTTGGGCTGTTTTGTGCTCTATGAATCCCAACTACTGATTTTCTCTGCTTTTACATGTTCTTCTTGTGAGAGCCCAGATTACATTCTATAGTCTGTTTTATGCCAGAAATCATACTAAATGATCATAGCCAGTCCCTTCTGACCTTAACAAATTTAGCAAGCTATAGGGAGCATTAGACAGGACTCTTTAGAATCTTTTGCTCCTTTAATTGCCTGCCAAAAGTCAATGTTGAGTCTCTCATCCAACCCACGTCCTTTGTGTTTTGTTTTAGGAATGCTGGCAGTCCCTGCTGGCTATGGTGTACAGCAGTGGTCCCCAACCTTTAGAGGCTCCCAGGGGGCAGGGCCACTCACACGCCGGGCACCTGGGGGGTGGGGCCACGTGTCCTGGGACACTTCAGGGGCGGGGATGCCCTTGCACCCGGCGCCGGCATGTGCCCCAGGGCTGGGGCCGGGGCCATCCAAGTGCCTTGTGCTGTGGGCCCAGGGCCGGTGCTGCTGCCCGAGCTATGCGCCTGGGGCCAGCACTGGTGCCGCGCGCCCGCATGTGCCCCAGGGCTGGGGCACCTGAGCGCCGTGCACCAGGCGGCGTGCGTGTTGTGCGCTGGGGCCGGCGCCTCCAGTGCGTCGGGGTGGGGCCAGCCCAGGTTGTCAGCAGGCGCACACAAATGCCCCGGCGAGCATCATGGTGCCCACGGGCACCGCGTTGGGGACCACTGGTGTACAGCAAACTGGGCCAGGCAGTTAAGCCAGGTCACTTATTGTAGGCCATTGTATGCGATAGTCACAGTAATAAAAAAATGAAATACAATCCATGAAGATAGTTCAGTTCAGAGTTAATGAGTTTGGTAGATAATAGAGCCCCATCTGAAGCAAGAAAGCCTGAGTATTTCATAGTACTGGTTCTAGCCTCCTGGTCTTCAAAAACCAGAGTTACAAGTAACAGTGAACACATTGGATTTCTTTTCTGCACACAGGCACAAAGCGAGCTAATGAATTCAGGTCTCTACCTTGTGCTGCTTCTTCACCTTTATGAACAGAGGTTTGCAGAACTCATGCGACTAAACTACAACCAAGCCAATAGCGACAGGGTAAGAGGAGTGAAAATGATAATGCTTCAAGTAACACCACTAATATATACACTGTCTTTTTACTTACTTGACTCTATCAAGCTAAAGTTGCCTCCCTAGTTTTCAAGCCTAGAGAAGGCCTACAATCCACTTAAAAACTGTGGCAATCTCTCTTCAAGATCAGCCGCATTAAGTTTTATTAAGCTACCCAAGCTTTCCTCAGGAGTACAAGTTACAATCCTGACTGACTCTCTCAGTGCAGGATTTTGCCCACTGATTGCCAATAATTTACACATGCTCTATACCCCTTCTGGCAGTTGCACAGATACTGTTATGCAATAGGGAGTTGTGTGTTTTCTTGCACAGCCACAGTAAAAGAAAAGTTAAAAATCTGAGCTTGATTAGTATATGCACATGAAAATGCAATCTGAACTAAAGAATGAGGGTATGTCTACACTACCCTCCTAGTTCGAACTAGCAGGGTAATGTAGGCATACCGCACTTGCAAATGAAGTCCGGGATTTGAATTTCCCGGGCTTCATTCGCGTAAGCGGGGAGCCGCCATTTTTAAAACCCCGCTGGTTCGAACCCCGTGCAGCGCAGCTACACAGGGCACGAACTAGGTAGTTCGAACTAGGAAGGCTATGTCTACACTACCCGAGAGCCCTAAAAATCTTGTCTACAGAGCAGAGTTGTAGTCCTGTGTGACAGGGTGTGATTCACCAGTGCAGCACCTCCTGCTGGCTGTCTTGGAAATTAGCTCTGCACCCTCTGATGTCTCACCCAGTGTCACCTCTTCTTGTGTCATCCCAAAGACCACAGTGTCCTCTAGCTTTACCATACTCAGTTCTCCTACTTTCCAGGGGAACAGCAGCACACTATCTAGCCACCTCCTTCAGCGGCCACCACAGCCAGTTGTCTGGCTACTCCCTCAGTGGTGAGGAAGGGCAGTGCCTGGGCTCCCCTGCTACTCCAGATTCCAGCTCAGGGATTCTGTAGTTGGTAGCCACATTGTGTGTCCCTTCTAACCTCTGTACTTTTTCCCTGAGCCACTTCCCTGTGGCCCTAGGACCTTCTTTCCTTTATTTCAGGGCTTCAGCCTGCTAGTCTTAGTAGCCAGCTAGGAGCTCTGGCTAGCTTCCGTGGTTGCTGCTGGCAGCACTGTTCTGTCCAGGTGCTACTGCTAGGTCTGGGAGGTTGTTCTTCTCCCCTCAGGCTCCAATCAGCTACTAAATTCTGCTCTGCAGCTCTTTTTACATGAGCTGGCTGGGTCGTGATTGGCTACTTCTCACCCCTTTGTAATTGGCTGCCTCCAGTGCTTTTAAAAAAGCATCCCACTGTAGGGATGCTTTTAGCCCCTTTTCTGCCAGTGAGGGGGCAGTTGCTCCATCAGACCCTGTAATTTGTATTAGTGCAATGTGTTCACAATCTGTCTTATCTGGTTAACATAAACCTATTTACAGTGATCTCACAGGAATTCCCTTTAGCTTTCAGTACCATTTTATTCCCAGACAAATCCCTGAAATGGGGTTTGTGGAAGTAGAGCTCCACAGTTGCTGTACCCATTTTTTTTTAAATTGCAGCCTATATAAAAGATTTATATGATTTCATTAAAATATTCCTTTTTAAAATAAAAATTCTTGAGTCTGCTGTAGTGCACCATGTAAACAAAAAATGCTTATGCATAAAATTAGAAGGACTGCCGATCCTGCACAGGATACATGCAAGAAGAGTTGTAGAAACATAAAAGTGTGTCAGGAAACATGCCAAATGCAGTGCACAGTTACCACACCAGTGCTTTCTATCAGCACTAGCATAGTGATGGTGAAGACTGATCTGATGCAGGCTATAACAGAAGCAAGCCATTCTTGATACCAATGCAGTTGCACGAGTATGGCAACAAATGTGCACACTTAAAAGCACTTTGAATGGAGACTGAGTGGGCCTAATTGTCAGTTACCTGCAGTTGAGTCATGATTAAGGTGGTTCAGAGCTACTCTAGTTTTCACTCTGCTTCACGTGGCCACATAACGGCTCTGAGAAGGAAAGAATAGCTGAAGGTTGGAATTTGCATAGGGCACTGATGAGAAGGGAAGCAGACGCCATTGTAAAGCTAGCACTTTGCTGGACGATGGAAATGTGGGAGGCTCAAGACAACATGGCAGCGTACTGTTGAGGCAGACATGGAGAATGAATTACAACTGGACACACTGGAGAAAGTGGCCAAAGACACAGAAGTGGAGAACCTTCATTGCCGCCCTACAGCAGGCATAATAGGCATTAATTAACTATGTGACATAGGAGAACAAGTTTCAGCAACTGTCATTGAGACTTGTGCTCCAAAAATCACAGATACTTTGAGAATCCAGTAGTGCAGTGCATGCTAACCTTGTCCCTGATCCAGTCCCTGGGAACAGGTCATTTTAGGATCCTCATGCCAGTGCTACATCATCCAGTCATGGCCCCCAGTGCAAGGGATATAGTCTGGGGACTCTTTCCACCCAATTTAAAGATGCTATATGATTTCAAAACAGTGTAAGGGAGTGTTCCAAGGAAATACACAAGACTTCAGGAGGGTTCAGAATGTCACTGTGGTGCTGGCACCTGTTACCATATTTCACAATACAAAACTGTCATGATGCCAACAAGCTGCATCATGCATGTATTTCAGATCAAGACCTATCTCTGTTTAGAGCACTTCTTATGAGTTGCAAAGCTTCTGCAGAGGTTTTTCAGTCAGTTGGCAAGAAAAGTGCATCTGAAGTTGAAACTGTTCTTTACCCTATGGATAGAGCCTGCACAGATACAAAAATGTGGATTCACATCTGATCTGAATCCACCAAGCTCAACTCATCATCTGATCCACAATCTGTGATAGGGATTTTACTTGCATCTGCACAGCAAGCCATCTGGAGGGTAGGGGAGAGGGAGCACAGATGAGCAAGGAAGCAGCAGGGTTGTGCAGGGATGAGACAGGCAGCACAAAAGCAGGGACTGAGGGTAGGCAGCAGAGACTTGCAGCAGGGCTCTGCAGGTGAGTGTTCAGTAGGAAGGTGGGTCAGCCCCTTCTGCAGGGGAATTTAAGACAGTGTCGCATTCTTTCCCTGCCAGCAGTAAAAGGGCCTGCCTTGGCAGCCCCCCCATGCACCTGGTGGTTGGATGGGGGAGTGGGAGGTAGAGCCCTGCATGGCTATCTGCATCTGAGGATGTGGATATTCATGGGTATGAAGCAGATATCTGTAGATATGCAGGGCTCTACTTCTGGAGCTCTTTGGAATCACATTTTTAGTTCAAATTCACAGAACACTGCTTTACTGGAGTGTTATAAATTATGGTTGAGCTGGTCTGAAAAGGTCACACATATTGATCCAGTGGCTTTGGTGCTTGTAGCTAATCTCTGGTCTCTCCTTGATACTGATGGGAACTGAGGCTTTCAATCCTGACCGTCTCAAAGCTGGAAAGGGTTTTAATTAGAACATGACCTATAGAATATTGGATTCTCTTGATTCCTTTTATATTCTCTGTTTTGAAAAATGGACCATAAAATAATCTAGACTTTGCTTTTAGTACAACAGTCCTCATGATATCTAGGGATGTTAAAAAGCAGTTACAAATCTTAGCAGTTACACGCTGCAGTCTCCAGTATAAAGCTTATAGTGTAGAACCCACAGCAAAGCCAGCTCCCTGGGAGCAGGGCTGGCAGTCGGTGTGCTCCAGGAACTTTATACTGCAGAGCCTGCAGCACACACGGTAGCAGGATACCCCAAGAGCACATGCCAGAATCTAGCTTTTAAGTTGGCTCTCAGATTATGTCTACACTATGATTCTTGCCACAAGAGGCAATGCAAATGAAGCGCAGATTAGCATTTTCTTGCACTTCATTTGCATACTCTTTCATTCCGTTTTTGCGCAAAAACCCCTTTTTCTGCAAGATCCTTATGCCTGTCCCGGAGAGGCATAAGGATCTTGCAGAAAAAGGGGTTCTTGCGCAAAAAGGCCCCAGCCACACTGCCTGTTTTTGCGCAAAAACCCCTTTTTCTGCAAGATCCTTATGCCTGTCCCGGAGAGGCATAAGGATCTTGCAGAAAAAGGGGTTCTTGCGCAAAAAGGCCCCAGCCACACTGCCTGTTTTTGCGCAAAAACGGAATGAAAGAGTATGCAAATGAAGTGCAAGAAAATGCTAATCTGCGCTTCATTTGCATTGCCTCTTGTGGCAAGAATCATAGTGTAGACATAGCCTTAGTGCACATTGGCTCCCACCTGCTGCCCCACCCCTGGGATGGTGGCTGCCACCCCATGATGCAGGCTCTGTATCAGAGCTCTCATCCCGGGGTGGCAGCTGGCTCCCTCGGAACTGGTGGCTGACAGGAGCGGCTTTTAAGCCAGCTATCTGCCCTACTCCCAACCCTGCTCCAAGGTGTTGGCTGCAACCCTGAGCTGAGAGCTTTCAACATGGGGTGGCAGCCAGCTTTCTGGGAGTGGGGCTGGAAGCCAGCATATAACCATTACAGTAATCTAGGAGTTCATGCTTATCGGTTAACCATTTAAACGGTTATGCTATTACATCTCCAGTGACATTCCTATATCTTTGTCTTGATATGTGGGGTTTTTTTTTTCCACAATTAATAGTTTTCTAGCCTCAATATACCTTTTACATTTCCAAGGCCCATCTCCTACAATTAATTTAAGGCTGAATGCTGTAGAAAAATATTTAACACTCACAACTTACTCATGGCACTTTTAGCTGGAGTAAACAAGTCAGTCAGACCACATCCCTTTTTAAATACATTTTTTAAATATTAAAAAGCTGATGAGTTTGGGTACAGAGAGGATAACCTTTTCAAGAGTGGCCTGTTTGGGTACCTATTTTTGGTAGCTTAGCTGAAAAAACCTTATTTTGAGTTTCAGAGATGTTAAGTACCCCTGAGGTACCTGAAGTCAATCACTTAGTACACATCTGCTAGTCAGCCACAAGGTGTCTCATGCTGACCTCCGAAGAACAGAGACACCCTATAGCAGAG